GCCGGCTCGACCGGAGTGATACCACGGCCTCACAGAAAACCGATGTGAAGCAACGCTTGCGTTGTGTGAGTGAGGTTACCGCCTACCGGAGGCCCAATTACCCTCCCCTTTCCCAATCTCCCCAATCCCTAAATTCCCAACGATCCTCAAACTCCTAATCCCCAAAATGCCGGTATCGCACTTGTAACGCCTCTGGTTTTCCAGGTGTCCATGGGCGACGCCGATTGCTTTCCATCAGATGATCCATATACTCGTTTACCGGTTTATGCCATAAAAAAACTATATTTCAACGTTTAGCTAGTCAGGCACTGCAAAAACCTAGAACTACGGTTCATTATTGGTCTATGGTTCCAAAAAGTTGACAGTCTTTTTTCTCGGCTTACTCGAAAAAAAAAAAACAGCTGCGATACTAATGAATATCATGTTTGTACGTTCATGTATGTATGTTAATCTAGCGTTTTATTGTTGAATCATAAAATCAAATACAATATAGCTTTCATACAATTTCAAGCATAAGAAAGACTGCGTTAATTTTGCTCTAGTCTAAACACATCAAACAGTACTGGGTGTGAGCTTTTACGAAGCATGTTGACCGATAGAGTCAACAAGATTGCCAAATACGCTAACTGTAATAAAGTTCAAGTCAAAATATTTAGATTAATTTGATACACAAAGGCGGTTCTCACAGCAATAAAATATTTTTAATAGCTGGTCCTTTAGTGAACCTACCTATATCTATGTTGGTTTGAAAAAATGTTATGAAATCAGTACCTAGGTTACCTACTTGTCTTTTTTTCCTAAAACGTAATTATACCTACTGCCCTTGGTTCTTGGAAAGCCCTCAAACCGTTTGTTTTGGCCAATAAAATATGAAATAACACATTAAACGCCGCGGGGGTCACCGGTGACCGACGTTACGGGAGGATTTGCCAGTTGCCTTCAACAATTTTCTATTGGCTGTCAACACCTTGAAGGAGAATCTTAAAACCCTCTCCTTTTTAACATTTCTAGTACCTAGGTATTGCAAGTGCCAGTGGTGGTGCTGATAATTCATCGTCATGTGATGTGTATGCTCGTTAAACCAAGTCTATAAAAACCTAGAAATTAATCTAAGAACATTTACTTTACCTATATCCACAGTACAAAATATTATATAACCTGTGCCGTGGGCAGCAAGATCTGAAATGATGTGAAAGAGAACGTGAAATTTCGCTGTAACTAGTAAAACAAACATTATCGCAACAACAATAAGACAAGTGAAAGAAGACTTGCAGATGTTTTAAAAACTATTTCTGTAAACGTCAAAATTATTTACGAATATTTTGCTCTAGAAGTCGAAGTAACTATGAATTAGCTATTTAATGAGGATTATGTTCTAAAGTAATAAGAAACATTTTTACGATGTTCAAGAATGAAAACATTTGGAAGTCTCGTCTTGATGCATTGACATTTTTTTTCATGATTTGGTATAAACATGATGTTCTATTTATTTATTTATTTATTTATCTATTTATGCACAACACACAGACAGTACACAGGAGAACATATATAAATATTTTGGAGGTACATAGGAACTACATATTCCCGAAGGAATCTCTTCCTGCAGTCCTTCGACAGGAAAAACGGTAAAAAAAGAGACACTGTGCGTAACACGACATGAAATGTGTTAAATAAATAGATCACAATAAAATACATAGACCTATACATACATATGATAGATACACATCAAATAATACACATATTAGAGTATATTACAAATAAACATATTATACATATATATATATATGACACTAATTTGAACAAGATGAGGAAAGGTAGTGCTCCCTTACGAGTCTTTTAAAGATTGGGATGGATTTCTAATTTGTCTTAATAATGTAAAATTCACAGCTATATTTAAAAGTTGAATTATTTAAACAGGCCATCGAAGTTATTACCGTGCACGAGGACTCTCAAATTATATTTATGCCTACACTCATACGATTTGTAATAACAAAAATGATTTATTGGCAAGCAAGCCCTTTATATCAGAAAGTTACATGGATATAAGTATAAAATAATACGTGTTGTATACCTGTTATTTTAAATTTAACTTTGTTTCTAAATCATTTGTATTCATATATTATTCACGCCTACGTTTTTATTTCCACGGAAACTATAATTTATTTGGTACAAATGGAAAATGAAGGCGAGAACGTAGCTAAGCACATTGATAAATTAGACTAGAATGACTATGATCTCGATTATCTTGTACGCAATGTTTTACGCTATATTCTTGGTATTTTTGGTAGGCTACCTACTTCTTTTTATGGCTGCACTCGTAACTCCTAGATAAGACCTCTTTCTAGGTACATAAAAATGTTTAGTATGCCTGAAATTAATAATAATAAAACCCGCAGGGCACCTTGAGGCGAGGTGACGGGCATTAGCGATCCCGCGGACTACCATCATCCCGAGTGCTCCAGGGAGAAGTCACCGTTCCTTACTCTCCGACTTACCTTTATTGGCTGGCTGGAGTGAACAATGACAACAGTTCTCCCACCTCTGGCTTGCCTTCATTGGCCGTCCAGAGTGGAGTCGCGAGAGCAGTGATCCTGCTCGGAGGGTAAGAAACTATTCGTAAGTCGCAAGTGGGCCAGGGAGGCAGGAGGCTTCGGCTGGAGCTGATGATCTGAGTAGAAAGCGGTGGTAGTTTCTTAACCCTTCAGCCACCCACATTCTCGTTGCCCCTCTGTTGCTTACATTGTTTCGGCAGGTGCCATAGTCATCCATAGTTCCCAATTTACTAGTCCACAGCAACCCATCCATAGCCCTACCTTTTTTTCCATTATCCACAATAGTTCTACACTAACCGGGGACTGTCCTTGGGTGCATTTCCATATAGCGAAAAGTGGGTGTTACATTGTAAAGTGGCATAATGTGCACCTCTGCCAATTCTTTCGGGGATAAAAGGCGTGATGTTATATGTTATATATGTATTTAAAAAAAATATTATTTTATAAACTCCGTCTAAAAAAACGATGTATACAGGGATAGTCGCCGGTTTGTGTGTCCATTACATTTACATAAGTATATTAAAGTTGTAGATATAAAGGGCCTCTGCGCAGTTGGCTTCGGCCCCTCGTACGCCTCTCAAATGACCGGGACCCTGTGGTCCCGTAAAAGGTAAAGATAATGATAATAGCCTTTATTAACAATCTTACATTATATTTTCTTTTGTACTATTATGACACCGGTACGATAAGATTGTCTCGCTTCCTGGCGTAGGCCTTCCCAAGAACTCGCCATCGCGAGCGGTCCAGCGCGTCGCGCCTCCCTCCATGCTTAGACTTAATAGGTACATTAAAAATTGTCACAGGATTAGGTTATGGTAAATTATTAATTATATAGAAACAGATTTTTTTTAAAAGAAATCGTCGTATGAACCTTATCAACGTCCTTGGCTCTATCCACCATTATGAAAAACGTGGCGTGCAGACAGGAATGCATAGCATCCGTGACGAAACCGTTAATAGCCAGTTATACTTATAAATATATTCAATTGTGTTTTCAATTCCCAATATTACGAAATTAATAATTAAGATTGATTATATGAAACTGTGAGTTAGTAAAAATCCCTAATGTACACATCGGCCCACGCACCGTGTCTCATATGTTTACAGAATTGTGCACGGCTGTGGATTGTGGAATGATATGTTTCAACGTGAAATAATGCTCCCGTCCGAACTTTAGCCCACTTGGTGTTTTATTGTGTGTACGCGATTCGGAGTTTTATCTCGTACAGCTGGTTGCCGGATAATCCGCGTATAAATAGCATATAGACAACAAAGCATCAACAAACTCAACTCGTATCGGGTACCGCTGCTGGCTGTCGAATATTTAGCGGTCCGACTCGGCTATTTTATGGCCGTCCTAAATTATTAAAATTGTTCTATTTCCAAACTCGTTCTGTCTATTCTATATTTATGATAATGTAGACTTGGACTTATCAGATGTAGTGATCTTTAAAAATATGAAGTAGAATTTCGATGTTATTAAAACTTGTAATACTCAGGTAGGTAACTAATTAGGTAGGCAATTTAGTTAGGTACTCTCATCTACCTAAATTTCTTTCAACAAGCTTGAGATGAATCAGTATTTATCTACGTTGTAGGTATGTTTATAGAATTTAGACTTCAATATTTTAAAACCTAATCTGGTTGCATCACTATGTTATTGCCGAGGTGTGTCTGTTTAAAGTTTGTCTTTTACTAGGTAGATACCTATAACAAACATAACTAGGCGAATTCGTAACCAGTTTTCCAGTTAAGTACCTACCTGAGATCCGAAATGAGCGAATTTTTCAGTGGTAGGTAGTACTTAGTAATTTTTAAATGGGTGATGTGGGACTTAAATATTTACTTAGGTAGATATATTGGTACACTAAAAAATTCAACTGCTAAAAAATACCTACCTAACAATTCCAGAAAGAAAATTGGACATTCAGCCTACGTTCGAGACCACCCAAGCGAATAGTGGGAGTGGCTTAGTGCCAAACTTTGTTATTGAGAGGCACATTTCAAATTTGATTAAAGAAAGTGTTATTGACTACCAGTTCATTTTATCCGAAAGATTAAAATGTTTCCTTATACATCCTGAACAAATCTTTTAGATAAAATGACACATAGGCAAATTCCATCCGGTAGCTAGATTTAGATTTAATGTGAAGAACCATCATAAAATATAGTATCAAACAAAACTTTTGTCAAAGAGACTCAAAAATACCTAAATAACCACATTTTAGATAAAAATACTCTCCTATCAATGTTTTATTTTATTGTCATTTCAATTACACTCCATGGTCGATGAAAACTTTTTTCGACATCCTTGTTAGACTCAATTATTATTTTAGTGGATAACGCAACGCAAACGCATCCAAATGTTTTTTCTTGCTGTCAACATTATCATCATGCTCTGTCAATCTGTCAAAATCGTGATGTGTGATTGTCACTGATTGTCAATTTGTCACTTTGACAACGATTCTTGACCAAAGTTTTTCAATTTGTTTACTTTTTATATTTACAATAAATACTGTGCACCTATAACCGGCACTAAATAAGTGGAATTTAAACAAGAAAGAAACGATGACTATGAAATAAGATTGAACAGTGAATGTTAAATTTGTGTTCCTAAAATGGAATGTTACGTGGTTATATCCTTTATTGGCGAAGGATCCTTTGGTCGTGTGTTCAAAGCAAAACATAAAGAAACTGACGCCGTTGTAGCTTTAAAAGTTATAAGAAAGGTATGCAATAACTGCTTTATGTGTCTCTTTTAGAAATTGTGTGTCAAATATGAAGTAAAAATTGTGCTTAAGCGTAACTATTATAGTTTACTTGTGTGTTAATAACTTCTATTTAAACCATAAAATGTTATTATAACTATCACATATTCTATTGTATAACTTCTAAGTATACATTTATGGTTGATTTCTATAGCCAAAATCCTCATAACCTCATTACAGAAAGGCAGATCAGTGAAAGATTTGAAAAATCTAAGACAAGAATGTGACATACAAAGGCAGCTGAAACACCCAAATATAATTCGTATGATAGATAGCTTTGACACTGAATCAGAGCTGGTTGTAGTCACAGAGTATGCAGAGAAGGAATTACATAGTATACTCGCTAAAGAAGGCTGTTTAAATGAGGATCAAGTCAAGAAAATCACTTGGGATTTGGTATCAGCTTTATATTATCTGCATTCTCACAGAGTATTGCACAGGTTTGTCCTTTAATTTTACATCTAAGATGATAGATTGGCAGTTTATAAAGTCTACATTTCCAATTAGTTTCTAATGAAACTATTGTCCTAGATTATTTACATGAAAAAAGAAGGAGAGAAAAACCATTTATTATGCCATGACAAACATATTGACAAGAATACAGAGGGCTTAGTACAAGTTTGTTTTATGTTAAAAGTAATCGAAACGAGACCGCGTTCAATACTGTGATTGTTTGCTTGATTTTGTCTTATAACATTTCATTTGGATATTATCTAGGCAAGTGAGGTTTTCTATTGAATATGAAATCTGCTGGATCACTAGTAGTATGTGGCAAAAAAATACATTTCCTGATTAACTTGTGGCGACACATGTCACAAGTCAACGGATGACGTCATAAAAATCCTACATCGCACATGCGAAGTTTACATTGGATTTAACACGGATAGAAAATCCCAACGAACAACTGTGGGGCAGAAAGCCCGCCAGGCACGATCACCTCGCCTGGTCGGAGGATCCTCCTTTTCCGATCTTAGGGAACTATACTCTCTGTTCCCTAAAAACTCTTTGAGTACCGTCATTATAGACACAATTAAAGAACTAGGTTGCGGTGTTTGACAGTTTAATATGCAGTAATTGTGTCTTTTTCCAGGGATTTAAAGCCACAGAATGTATTACTCGACAGTTCAGGAAGAGCAAAATTATGTGACTTTGGTCTAGCCAGGATCATGACAAATGCTACACATATTCTGACCTCCATCAAAGGTACTCCTTTGTATATGGCACCTGAATTAATTGAGGAGAAGCCTTATGATCATCAGGTAAATAAAGTTTTATTTATTATCTGTTTTTAACCTACCTTATTATAAATGAAGAGGTTTCTCTTTATTATCGCATATCCAAAAAATTTCTAACTGTGTGTAGTAAAACTTAAAAATGTTGATGTTGTTGGCCATCTGTTATAATATTTTTAACACTAAAATTATATTTGTTTTCAGGCAGACTTATGGTCCCTCGGATGCATAGTATATGAGTTGATAGCAGGCCAACCTCCCTTCTGTACTATGTCAATATGGCAGCTTGTACGGATGATCAGGCACAAGCCAGTGCAATGGCCTAGTTTCATCAGCTCTGATGCTAGATCATTTTTACAGGTAAAATAATACTTCATTTAAGAAGTTATTTACTATTATTTATTGCTTTGTAGTGGGTTGACAAACAAATTTGAATTTAAGCTAGTTATTGAACTGTAATGTTTATGTAATTTGTAATTATTAATAAATCAGATTATTGTCTAAATTCTTATTATGAATAAGTTATACAACTCCAATTTTCTCCATATTCCAGGGTTTATTACATAAAGATCCAATGAAAAGAATGACTTGGCCGGAAATTTTGGAGCATCCATTTGTATTTGGGCATATCACCATTCTTCCAGAAGATGTGCAAAGTGAATCTCCTTTTACAAAACCCTTATCTTATAGTCAGCAAGAAGCTAAACAACTACAAAGGGAAAAAGTTTGTAGTAATACAAGGTGAGTTTGTTAGTAATTGAAGATTTTGGTTCTAATGGTCTTGATTTAAAGTTAATTTTCGTTTAACAATTCTATTTCTTCAGAACGATACCTGAACCAAAACCAACACCGAAAGAGCATGATTTACGTAATGTACGAGTAATGCAGGCAATGGAATGCGTCCCAATGTCAGATGATGATAGTGTCAGAGCGACCAGTGCATTCAGTGTGCGAGATAGTCTGAAGACTGATGATGAAGACCAGTCCCACCCCATAACAGCAGCTAATGCAAAACTACTTAGACATGAGTACAATGTCCTAAACAATTCCAACCTCGTTGTATGCAACCTAGAAAATAATATGGCACAACTCATGGCAGCTAACAAAAAACAGTCAGATCTCAACAAAATGGACAAAATAGATGAAGAAAAAACGAATACTGAGAAACATGCGGAAGAAAAGAAACCAATCAGTGCCAGTGATGGGAAACAAGAATTACTAGATGTTAAGCAAAAAGTTAAGTCTATAGATACTGCATCACAAAGCTTGGAACACCCCAAAAGTTCGACGAAATGCAGTAGTGAAGTCAGCTCTGGGCTCAGTAAAAGCGTCCCACCTTCTTATAAACAGAAAATATTGCAATTTTCCCGCGACAAGCTCAGATTTGGAAGTGGAGGGAATAAATTGACACGAAGTATTAAAAGATCCTTCCATTTTAGTAGAAGTTGGGATAAAAACAAAACTGATACGCAAAGACGGACCAGTGAACCGACTATAGAGGTTTCAAGTCTCATTGATGATAAGGAAAAGTGTTCTAAAGAAGAGAAAGATCAGGATGTTGAAAAGTCTGAAATTATTGAAGAGATATCTGATGAGAAAGAGGTCGCTGATAATGATAGAATACTTAAAACTGAAGATAAAAGTGATGGTAATATTAAATTTAATGCTGACATTCATTTCAAGTATTTTTCAATAAAAAACTTAATGTTATTTTTATTTCCAGTCAAAGAGCCATCTTCAATTGAATTGGAAGAATGGGAGGCATTCCTGAATTCCAACATCAGCGAAGTAATGGATGGCGACGTAGAATCTCTCACTCAACTAAACATGGTAGGTATAGTTAAATATTATTCTATTATTAGCTTTTGTTCATTTCTTTATTTAACACTTTTTGAACATACGATACGACATAGATTAAGCCCGCCAGTGTCGCCTTTTAGATGAGTACTTGAAACTTCAGTACAACTTAGAACATGAGAAAGCTTTCAAATCAAATCGCATGTCTAACTTGCGATATCATAATTATAATTAGAAGTACAGGATTTAAGTAAAATTGTGAACTATCAATTTTATTGTGTTGCATCGTCCTTTTTTACAGGTTAGCATGGTGATAGGCGTAGTAGGTAGTGCGGCACGAGCGAGTGGCGGGGGGCGCGTGTGTGGCGCTGTGGCAGCCCTACTGACACTACCTGCGCTGGCGCATACATTGCCCAGGCATACCCTGCTCAATATACAGGATGTAAGTTTCATATTGGATATATATACTGTCTGAAGTAATTTATTTGCACTTTTCTGGTTCGTTTTACATTAAATATTTCATTAAATGGGTATTTTTATTTTGCAGGTATACCTTGAAGCTAAAGTTGTTTATAACTTTGTGGCTGCGATTAATTCGCTAATGAACAGAGTATTCAACGACGATGGAGCGCAAGATAGGTACATGTTACTTTTATTTCATATTCACCTATATTTGTATTGTAACTTTCGTGAGACATACTAAATAAATTATTATGTTTTCGGCTTACTCACGTAGTAATTTGACGTGGAACTCGACTAGTTTCAAGCCATGCTAGAGGCTCATATTCATGAGCAGCATTTCGCGACTCGCGCCCGATTCGGCGCCTGTCGCGCTGCTACTGGCTACTCGAGTCTGCATGGCTTGAAACTAGTCGAGTTCCTCGTCAAATTACTACGTGAGTAAGCCGAAAACATAATAATTTTTTTTCATATTGACCTCGTAGTCATTTCTTTTCTATACAATGTAATTCTTACCATAAAGTTCACAATACCTTTGGACTTATTTTGAATAAACATTTAAAAAGTTCTTTAGTGTTTATTAAATTAGTTATTCCTTTGTTCAGCTATGACAGTCTAGTGATTGAACATGGTCTTTTAGGGAAGTCGGTTAAAATAAAAATAATAATACCATTTACATGAAATTTTGTTGTCTCCCAGGTTACAAGGAGTGGGTCGCATGCTAGAAGTATGTGCGTGGCTATGCGTGCGGTCGTGTCGCGGCGTCCGACAGTTCGCCACCGCCCTCACTGCCTACAACGCACACCCCGTCTTTACCAGGCTTCTGATGCACTGTAAGAAGTTTTCATCATCATTATTATTATTCAAACTAATTATTCTTTAGGCCGATTCCTCAAATATCACTTTTTTATATCATAAGCCGGTAAACGAGCAGACGGATCACCTAATGGTAAGCAATCGGCGCCGTCCATGGACGCCCGAAACTCTAAGGCGTTACAAGTGCGTTACCGGCCTTTTGAGAATTGGGAATCTGAGGATTGTAGAGGATTCAGGGATTCGGGAGACTAGGGAGGGGGGTAATTGGGCCTCCACTTAATTCATAACTGTAGAATAAAATTCACATTTGACAGTATGGAAGAATTGTCAAATACCTATTTAAAGTTATTCCTCAGTTCAAATTTATCTGGCATTGGAAAAATGTGCCTTTATTCTTATTACGATATAACGGAGTGAATACATACGAAAATGTGGTAAATACTAGAAAACATGACCCAATATCTATTCACCATGTCACCACTATCATGTCTTTTTACCCCCCTAATTCTATTCATCCAGTTTCTTTTTTTTTGCGCATACCTTTATGTTGTATTTATTTATTTACACTTCTTGCAATTGTATACAATGGCGGACTTAATGTCTAGTGGCATTCTCTAACAGTCAACCTTAGGGTGATGCAGAGAGACACAATAGTAGGTGTAAAAGTTTAACACTGTTGTGAGTTTTGAATATAAATTGATATGGTTTTTTTACCGTACTTAAAATGTTGACTACCTACCTCATTAGTGACCTCTGTTCTCAAATGTGACTCAAATGTGACTGTCTTGTATTTTGTGAAAAAATAGAACAAAAAAATTCAAAGTACTGCATGCGTTACTTTTAAATATACGATTCCGTATTTAATTTTATAATTTAAAAATTGCATAACATGTTTTTCGTGACCAATGTGAGTGCAGAGTTTATTTTCAAAAAGATGACGTGTTGTTTGTCCAGACGAAATAAGGTCATGTTACAAACAAATGACATTTTATACTCGCACAGACAAATGTACCAATATCTTGGACGTTAGAAAATTGCGACCAGACAGTTTGACATAATGTTAAAACTATTTAAACCGAATTATGTCGGCTAGTATCGGATGTCTAATTAATTTTTCACTTCCTGTTTTTATAAACTTGTAGTAAAAGTGACAAGTCCGACTGTAAATAAATAAAAAATCTTATTCGATGTAGGCTAACGAAAGCAACTGTTTATAAAATTCAGTGTTTTAGATGAATAAATGGAATTCTACAACAAATCTTCTTACATAGCAAAACAGAACTGATTTTTGATCGAGTTGATAAGTAAGAGGTGTTCATTTCGCTACCCTTTTTGTCCACAGATTCCAAATCGCCCCGTATAGTTCTCAACATCGTGGGTCTTCTTATAACGGTGCTACAGGATCTACCAGAACACGCAGACGTCGTCGAGAAGATACTTTTTGACGAAGAAAAATTCAATTTCATAAGTTTGGTGGAACAACCAAGTGACGCTTTGAGAATGAGAGTGTGTATACTAATTAGTTTGCTGTGCACATTCTCATGTACCGCGTTTTCGGTTGCCATGGAAACGAAATGGAGTAAGAAAGAGACTGAATCCATTGAGGCTTTACACACTCATTGTAATGTGGCTCTGAATAGAGCGGCGCGATTGGCCACAAAAGAGCTTAGCAATATGCCTTTTTATGTCAGCTAGTGATATAGTTTAATTTTACTGAGCAACAATATCGGATCAATTTTAACTAAAGATTGAAGAAATATTTAAAAAAAAAAATGGATAATGATGGGGAATACTGTAAAGTTTTATGCATATTTTTGTAGCTATTATGATGCAGCTAAAGCAAATTATAAATCAACTAGCTTCTACCAACGCCCGCGTTACCGTGGGATAAAAAGTAGTCTATACAAGTAGGCTGTACGTATTTGTTCCATATTTCATTCAGATACCTTCTGCCGTTTTTATGTGATTGAGTAAGAAACATAGTTACAGTGTGATTGTATGTACAAACACACAAACTATCGCATTTATAATATTAATAAGATAAAAAAGGATTTTTTAAAGAACTTACTAACTAACTACTTTGACGTAATCTCAACACTTAGGTGAGTAAGTTTATTATTATCATCTTTTTATTAATTTTTTGTAGATATTTTCTTAATTACCTATCTTTTTATACAATTGACAAGTTTCTTCATACTTATATATACTTATATATACTCACTAATGTTGACCTAGGTGATTTTTATACATAAAATTTTAGCTATGTTAGAAAATGATTAAATACTCGTTACAAAAATGCTTTAAATATTGTGTGAAATTTGAAAATTCTGATTATTATATGGCTATGGATAAGCCGTAAGTACCTCTAAATAATGTTCTAATACTCAAACGTCACTCAATTTTAAGTCGCGCTTAAGTATAGTTCTGTCTCTATAAATTCTTTGTAGAATGACAGAGACGGCACGATATTAAGTACAACTTATTACGAATAGCCTTTCAGTACGCGTAAATGAGATATTGACTACGCACTTAATGTAGAAGAATTTCTATATGAATGGATACTGAGTTGAGTATCTGAGGCTCACATTTTTTACTCAAAAGACAGAACGAAAGATAAAACATTTATTCGAAACTGATTGTTTGTTTGTTTGCTTGACCGCGCTAATCTCTGGAACTACTGGTTCGACTTGGAAAAATCTTTTTGTGTTGGGTAATTATTATCGAGGAAGGCCTTTTTTTGAGGGGGGAAAATCATCCAATGACTTCTCCTGCCCGGGTGAGGCGAGAGGAAGTGTTAAAATCTTACTGACTAAAAACAACCGCGTTCCTATTCCTGCACTTCGAGTCGGAGCCCCGGCAACCCGTTAAGTCTTCCGCGGCTCCGTATCGGCATCAGCCCTGTTGGCTCCATCTCTCCATGTGGTGATCTGATGGCTCCATGAGACGCCGCGGAACGCGACGCGCCGTACGATCGGGTCTGGTTCTGGTGATGAGTTACCCGTGCTCGAGGAAGGCAATAAAACGTCGCGCTACAACCAATAGGAGCCGAGTGGAGCGGATGAAAGCGCGCGGGAATGGCTAGTAAGTCATATGGATAGGGTTTGTAGCAAAGCGTATATATTACACAAAAGATTGTTACTGTCAAATGTAAAACCTATAAAGAGTTTAAATATAGAACTATGGACTTTAATGTACTTTAAAAATATTTTATTTCATCTAATAGATAAGACATAAAGGTAATGTAAAACAAATTTTATCAAAATTTGCTCACCTATTTAAGAGGTTCCAGTGCCATAAATATTATTTAAAATATTTGTCTTTAATGTATTTCATAGATTTTTTGTAATATAGGACTTAAATTGGAAATGACTCACTCAGTCTTCGTTTATACGCCATTTGTTTGAGGAGTTTAATATAATATTATCTTATGATAATAACTATAATATTATGCTGTGTTTAAATGAAAAAAAAAAAAAATTACTTGAGTATCGGATTCTTGAAAATTTTATTAAATATAAACTCAAAAATTGTTATCTCATATAGATTTATTATGCATTTATAAATAAAAAGTATATAAGTAATGTAAAATCTCTAAAACATAATAGTGTAAGATTTTTATACTCAAAGATAGTGATAATTCAAAGTAATCTCAATTTTATTCTAAATCTCAAGCAATAATCCATACAACGATGTAAACACAATAAAATTAAAATATAAAAATAAATATACCTATGTATAAGTACTTCATGTATTTTATTTATATTACAAAACAAAATTTAAATAGGTGCTCGATAATTAGAAATGACGCAGTTGAAAATTCCAGTTTTATAAAAATATTTTTATCGAATTACGATGTGTCATTAAAATCATGTCATAAGGGATTATGATACAACACATATTTATTCAGCCTTGAACTGGACCCAATCGTTCACATCTAGATATACCCCAAAACATAAGGACGGTTCCAAGGTTAGATAAAGATATATTTTATCAGTTATCAAACAGGATCACGTAAGCTGATACTAGTGTAGTATTATCAATGATAACATAATACTTATTCCTTTTTATTTAGGTTGAACTTTACTAGCTCTTTCTGTGGTTCCACTTGCATAATTAAAGAAAAAAATAAAAGTAAAATAAATAAAAATCGCGGGTTACTCACGTGAATATACTGAGAATGTTGAATGAGCGATGCAGTAGGCTGCGCGACATTGCCGCGGGCGCGCACGCTACTCATGAGGAAGAAACCCTCTTTTGTTCGAAAGAGAGCTATCCTCAATATACTCACGTGAGTAACCCGCCATTTTTAGCTAATTTAGTATGTCTCACGATAGTTATTATAAAAAAGTCAAATAGTTTGTTTGCAAGTGGCGCGTTGTCATTCGATGAGGAGAATTAAGAATGAGGCTGTTCAGCAGTACATATCTTCCAGACGGTGATGATGATGGCAATATTTTTACGATACCAACCAATCGACTACGGTAAAGCACAATATTTTGAGGAAAAGTTTAGAATTGAATCCTGTCAACATTCTGTCTTCAAATCCATAACGAGGTGCAGCTTAGGTTCGTTGTCCGTTCATGCTCTGTTTCTAGTTTTTTCCTTGCAGTGGGACTCTTGGGTAAGAGAGTTGGTTTCGTCTTTTTCTTGGTTGCAAACTTTATCAAAATTGGTCTAGCGGTTGTTTGGTTAGTTGCATTTATATACATACTGGATTAGAATTTCTTTTGTGTTGTAAGTCTTGATTTTTGTTTACTTGGCCCTCTGTCTTTCTAGCGCATCAGATCGCTATATACTGACTTCAGTCATGGAACTAATCACAATCCATGCAATGTTGTCTTCAAAGATTTTAGTATATTTTATTTATGTATTTTATTATTATTTATACATAATGCATATAGGTACTATTATTAAATATTTGACAAAAATAAACTTCTCAGTACCTAATCGTAATATTTTATTGAAAAAGGACTAAGATAAAGTCAGAAAAATATGTTTTTATTTGAAATAAAAATTATTGTGCTACCTACAGTCCTGGGAGGCAAGGCCAGGAGGCTAGAATGAATATTTTTATGGTGCAATTTAGAAACAATTTATAGAATACATCATTCGAATGTAACATACAATGGCTTACATAGTAGCTACCTACCTACAATAATTTTGGTGCTAGTAAAGTTATTTGTTATAATTGCGTCAATGCAAAAACATAATCACGAGGACATCATGATGTTTATACAACTATACTGATAATTTCCGTATTAACGTGAAAAACACCAAAAAAATGTGCATGCATGCGATATGTTGTTACCTTGAACCATATTTAATCGTTCATCTGAACGAATGAAGTAGGAGGGCATTCGAAGGTTAGATAATGTTAATCTGAGTGCACTTATCTTAGTTTTCATATCCTCGATATGTTTTGGCATTTAATATTATAATCACCACCATCATTATCATAGCACGTGAGGCTCCTTGCTGGACTGGGCAATTGGACATACTCCAGCAAATGGGACTGCATAAGAGGGGTTCCCTATTAATCTGTACGCCTGGCAGGCGGGCGGGTTGTAGTCTTGCAGATCGCAAGTTTAACTTGTTCAGGTTAATCAGATAATTCTGCTGTAGGTACTGTTCGGTTTTGTTAAATGTGTGATTCAATCATCTAGGCAGCTATTAGAACATTGCTGGAAGTAGTCGTGATATTAAATATGTTCTTCTCTATTGTCAGTAGTACCACAGAGAAAAATAAGCAAAAAATGTTGTAGGTGCAGTTCACGAAAATGCAGTCACTTTCAGCCTTGAACCTCATTTAATCGTTCATATCTAAAACAAGAGGACATTCGGAGGTTAGATAAAGGTAATGCTATGCAGCTATGCATTGTATTTGATATCCTGTTCAATTAACTTTGTTATATAATAAAACAAAGATTAAAATGTGAGTGCATCATGGAAAGTTTCTGGTGCAATTAATTTAGGATGTTTCTTGTCTTTTAGTTCGTTAGGTAAGAGGGATTGGTTGGGGAAACATTTGTTGTGTGAAACACGGTGTATAAAGTAATTTGTTACAACATATGTTTAAGAAAGACTGGAATAGAAAACAATAAAAGTAAGATAAATAAAAATACAAGTCCAATTTCAAGCTTTAGGAAGTACTGCCCATAATACTTAGTAAGCAATTGACAAAATATTTTAGGGAGTTAAGTAGTGATGGTTTTATAGATTTTCTTTTCATTTTCCTAAGCCCTATTCTTTTTTTGTGGCATAAACCGGTAAACGAGCAGACGGGATCACCTGATGGTAAGCAATCGGCGTCGCCCATGGACACCTGGAACACCGGAGGCGTTACAAGTGCGTTACCGGCCTTTTGGGGATTAGGAGTTTGAGGATCGTTGGGAATTCAGAGATTGGGGAAGGGGAGGGTAATTGGGCCTCTGGTAACCTCACTCACACGACGAAACACAACGCAAGCGTTGCTTCACGTCGGTTTTCTGTGAGGCCGTGGTATCACTCCGGTCGATCCGGCCCATTCGTGCCGAAGCTAGCTCCCACACTTAAAACATTGTTCAACTCCCACACTCTTTTAGTTCAGAGAGGTCAAACAAATCGTACCTACATACAATTGTGAATTGAAAAATATCTCGATCTTTCCAGGTAGGTATGTATTTTTTGCAACAAATTCTTAATATTCTTATCATCCTGTTTTTGGCAACCAATACTTATAGATTATGTATCATCGCGGTCGATGGCCGGAGGTCCATTTTGTCCTCTGTGTGCTATGAGGTCATTTGAAATGCAAAGTTCATACTCGGTATGTTTTTGCACAATGATGTCATACTTCAATTTCCGCATGCAAAGGCTAAATCTATTCTTAGAAGGATTGGATTTTTAAGTTTGTACGAAATGACGTTTGCAGTTGGTTGTGTCTAAAAGGGATAACTAAAATTCTATAATCCTAGCTTGTGCCGGAAAATATAACCAACTTCAAAAAAAGGTTAAAGTCTGTTTTCTAACGTAGTTTATAGAAGAATTATTTTCCAAATTACCTACCTTGATAGTAGTATCGAAATAGTACCTAATTCACTTTTATTTAATTGAGTACCTAATAACTGTTGATAGGCATAATCCAATGATTAAACAAAAGCAGTTTGGCGCCGGTGGCGTTAGGCTCACCTTTATCAATCACATGAAAGCGATAAAGTAGCTGTTAAAAGTGAGCGCACTTATAAAAATACCTAATATTATGATTAATAATTCAAAATCAATACTGATATGTCACTTTCACTAATCTTTCACGCTAATCAGATTTCTCACTTATCTGAGAGTTTCTATTGCGTGTGTTGCTAATCTAATTTAATAAGGCGCATTGATTTTATTGATAGCACCAATCGTATTGAAACATACGTGCCTCACGTTTGTATGAAACAATAGGTGTCCACACGAGAATAGAGCACGTCCTAGAAATATTATTCTGCTTATTCCAATATGTTAATTCAAAGGCGATGATCTCTCTGCCATATGACCTTCCATTCATGTAAATCAGCATCGCACTGTAGGCAAAGTTGCCAGAGAATTTAGATGAATTTTTATATTAAAAAAACGTTGACTTATTTAAATACTGGCATTAAACAGAAGGTTGTATTTTGAAATATTGTAAGAAGTGTTCTTTTTTAGATTTATGGAGGTAGG